AACTAATTTAGTTATTTCAGTGCAAGTTGTGTGTAGACCAGTGGTTCTAAAACTAGGGCCGCCGCTTGTTCAGGGAAAGCCCCTGGTGGGCCGGGCCAGTTTGTTTACCTGCTACGTCCTCAGGTTCGGCCGACTGCGGCTCCCACTGGCCATGGTTCACCGCTCCAGGCCAATGGGGGCTGCAGGAAGGGCGGCCAGCACATCCCTCGGCCCGCACCACTTCCCGCAGCCCCCATTGGCCTGGAGCGGTGAACCATGGCCAGTGGGAGCCGCAATCGGCCGAACCTGAGGACGTAGCAGGTAAACAAACCGGCCCGGCCCGGCCCACCAGGGGCTTTCCCTGAACAAGCAGCAGCCCTAATTTGAGAACCACTGGTGTAGACAATCCTTAACTTGATGAGCACTTTATCTCACTTTTTACACACCAATGTAAAAAAAAAAAAGTAACTTCAATGGAGTTCCTGTGGTGTAAACAAGAGAAGGATCATCTCCTCTCTGTAGTGCAAAGTAGTGTAAATCTGGTGTAGATTAATCAATTTATATCCAGACAGGGAAGGAATCCGAAGAGAGATTCTGCAGTCAGCAGCAGGCCAAACCAATGCAGTGTGCAACTCATTAACTGACAGGTGAGAGTTCAGGTGGCTTGTTTCTTAGTGTAATAGAAACAAATGCACCCATGTAAACAGTGTCCCCATCAACTATTAGTGCAGGGACTGCAAGAGGTCCCCATTATCTCACTATACATATCCCATTGATGTACCAGCTCACAGGCTGGAGGAGAATGTACATGACAGTAAGAACAGGAAAGACCTCAGTTACCATGGTTTATCCCCATTGGCTCTAGTTTTCAGTTAAAAATATGACCACCTAAAGCATATTTACTCCCACTTTATAACCCAACAGTGCTGTTTAAATTATGAATGTTCAATAGTGGAGAACACTGATTCCATTTGCCTTCAATGGTTTCTACTGGTGTATCTGGGGACAGGCAGAATGAAGGCAGTTTAGGAAGGAAAGCAAATAGGGAAATGTAGAAGGCAAGCACACAGGGATCGCAGTATTTCACAAACAAAAAAAGCGCACAGTAACCCTCAGACATAACAGTGTTTGGGTGCACTGATGTATACATTGTAGGTTAGCCAGGGAAGCTGTCAAACTGTGTGTGTGTGTACCTAGTGGGGTCCTGGAGTCAGTCCTTGGTCTGATCTTCATCAATATTTTCCACTGATGACTTGGATAATAGTGTGGAGAGTATGCTTATAAAATATGCAGATGACACCAAGCTGGGAGGGGTTTCAAATACTTTGTTTAGGTGGTTTTATGATGTTGATGGGAGATCTCTCTCCCGTCAGCATAGAGTGGCTACATGAGCAATCTTACAGTGGCTATGCCGCTGTAAGTTCACTAGTGTAAACATGGCCTTCCCTAGGCTGTGCAGACACTTAATTCAAGGTTAAACTCCTAGTGTAGACAAGCCCCAAATGGGTTAATGGTACAAAAAAGGCTCACTCTCCATAGCCTTATATAGTCATTTACACCAGTGCAAAGTGGGTGCAAAATGCTACGATTCTGATTTGGTACCATTTTAGATCCATTTTGCACTATTGTTAATGACTGCACAAGATACATGGCAATGAAAAGTCCACAGTCTGAACCAAATTTTCCCTTGGTTAACTTTTTCCATTGTTGTATGCAGTGCTGTAGCCAAGTTGGTTCCAGGATATTAGGGAGAAAGGTGGGTGAGGTAATATCTTTTATTGGACCAACTTCTGTTGGTGAGAGAGACAAGCTTTCGAGCTACACAGAGCTCTTCTTCAGGTCTGGGAAACATGCTGCTTGTGCAGGTGGTTTTGTCAGCATAGCAGGGGAGTTAAAGCGGCAGGAGGAGCTTTTCAGTGTGTACACCTCCATTGCTTTGTCGACGAAAGCTGACGTTTGTTGGCAAAACTGTGTAGTATAGACAAGGCCTAACTCCAAGCATCACAGCTAAATATAAGGTGGACTAAATAGTTTAGTATAAGCAATTCACACATATCAGGGTGAAGTGGCCCATTAACACTCCTCCAGTGTTAGGGAGGAAAGGAAGGAAGGAGGGAGAAAAGCAGCTATGTGTGTGTGTGTGTGTGTGGGGGTATTAGTGGGTTATAGATTGTTGTAATAAGCCATACATCCAGTGTCTCTGTGCAGTCCATGATTTTTAGCATCTAGCGAAGTTATGAATTTAAGTTCTGAGGCTTGTCTTTTGAAAATGTTGTGCAGGTTTTCTTTCTTTAAGGATGAGGACTGACCAGTCAGCTACAGAACTATCGCTTTGTGAAAAGTGTTCACCCACAGGTGATGTGGGGGTTAGGTGGGAGACAGGCATCCACATGCTTAGAGTGAGACAACAGCGCGCATGCCCAAAAGCAGAAACATAGGCAGGTAGGGAATTTTTAACCTGAAAACTTAGGCGTTGAGTGTCTTTAGACACCTACCAGCATGGGCGATGGGTGAACCCCCACTTTCGGGAGGCTAGCCCACCAGCCCCACCCCTTGTGCCCAAGGCCCCGCCCCTCACATGCTAGAGCCCCGAAACCTGCCCCCCCATAAAAGGAGGAGCCCCGGACAGCCCCAGCGCTGGGCTGAGCACCAGGCCAGGCCATTCCCCTCCCGCCCCTGCCGAGCGCTGAGCCAGGCTGAGTTGAGCCCCTCTCCCCAGAATGCCACGCTGGACCAGCCCCCGTCCAAGTGCCAGGCAGAGCCAGCGGCGGTCCCCTGCCGAGCTGGCAGCCCTGGTGCCTGGCCGAAGCGCCTCACACCCCTGCTAGACCCCCGCGCCTGCCACTTGCTCGCAGCGTCCCTCCTCACTCCCCTGCCCCTGAGGAGAAGTGATGTGGCGAGTACTGGGGACCTGGTGGGGGGGCGAGGGAGGTGGAGTGCAGGTAGGCCGGTGGCAGCAGCAGCAGGCGGTGGGTGCCTCAGGGAAGGGGCGGGACCACCGCAGCCCAGGTGTCTGTGGGGGGCAGCTGCACCAGGGAAGCCTTGGCCTTTCCTGGCCTATTATACCTGCCAACCATGCCTACCAGGTTCAGCAGAAGTTTTGTGGATCACAATGCTTTCAAAACTGGGATTTAGGCACCTAACCCTGATATTTTGGCATCTAAGTCTGATTTAAGTGCCTAAAAGTTAAGTGTTGCAGTGCTGAGCTCAGGAATGTTTAAGGCCTTGTCTACTGTAGAAAGTTGTACCAAATTATAGTCTGGATCCAATTATATCAATACAAAGAGGCTTATACTGGTATGAAGATTATCCTAAGAATAAGAAGAATTTCTGGAATGGGGGAAAATCTCACACATTCCAAATACTCAGCACTGTGGGTAGGATATACATTTTCCACATCTTATAGGAAGGAGGAAAACATTTGTATTTCCTAAAAAGAATTTTTGCATGTGTAATCTGGATACTGTGTGTGAGAGTATAGTGTTTGTATGTGTGCGAAAGAGTGTGTATATGTAGTGTGTGTACATAGTGTCAGTGTGCAGTGGGTGTGTTCTGAAGGATGGCAGTTATAAATATTGGCAATCACAATCAAAGGTAATCATATTCTAAATGATATTCAGATCACATTTATGTTAATGTATGTTTTATATACTGTATAACCTATAAGTATCATTACTTTGCAGTCCACACCCTCTCCTCTGCAAATGAAATGATTCATTTTCCACATTAGTAAATCAGCAGGTTGAAAACTATTGTAAATCAGTGTTTTCATTATACATGTGATGCTCGATACTATTGTTGCATAAGAGGAAAAAGGTCAAAGCTGGATCCTGGGCATTTTTGGTCCCCAGCCCTCAAATTCCATTGCGCATATACACAACAAATCCAGCCACTCCAACTGCACCAAACTAACAAACCTGAATGCATCCCAATACAACAGCATCTCAAACTCTGATCTGGCACCTTGATCCAGTTTGATACAGTGAGCTTTTATGTTGGGATCCAAATTATTCTGATGGACCTGGAGAAGGTGCATATGTACTGAGTTGAGACAGTTGAACAAGGTATGTACCCAAAAAATTAGCAGGATCCAGGTGCCAGTTGTATTTGTAGCTTTCTTGTACCAGGATGTGTTGGGATCAGGTTTGGTGGAATAGCAGAAGCAAGACTCGCTCTCTATTTTGAGGTAGTTTATTTTGGGGCCTGTGTTTTAATGGCGCTGTTGAGCTGGGTTGCATCAGGATCTGGCGTTTGAGGGGCTTGGGGTGCAACAGGAGCAGCTAAACATGCTCGTTATTCATATGGCAGAATGAGGGTGACTGGGGCGAAGATGGAGCTGGAGGCAGGTGCCAGCGGTGGGGTTGGGCAGTGCTGCTGTGCTCGGATGCAGGGCGCTCCGCGTTACATTGGCACACGGGGGCAGAGACACTTGTTCTCTGTTAGATTTTAAGGGGAGGGAGCCCCAAATCGGCAGGATCCAGCTTCTTACTTTCTCCCCGTCTGATGGGAGGTTTTTGACTCTCCCCTTGTTGGCTAACACGTGCTGGGGTGGGGCGCACGGCTCCCCCCAAAGACCCTAACGCTTCCCAGTGGTGTGTGTCCGGTGAGCTCTTTTAATTGTCCCCAGCGGGTAAATAATACACACACACCGGTGGGAGAGGTAACAGAGCAAACACTCCGCCCCAACTCTGCTCTGATGCCGGGGCTGGCTGGGGTTCCAGCGCCCAGGATCGCTCATGTTCCCGGTCCCATCCCAGCCGCGGCTTCACTTGCTGGCACTTGAGGTCTCTGGCAGCCTCCTGTCTCGCACCGCGCCCAGGAGCTCGCCCTTGGTGTCCCCGGACGGCCGGGGCGGGGGGGCAGGCTGAGTCGGGGGGGGGGGGCGCTGTGTCCGCAGTGGGGGTGCGCACAGCCCAGCCGGAGCTGGGACTCGGCGGCCAAGGGGCTGGGGAAATCCAATGGGGAAGGCGCCTCTGCGTGGCTAACCCCGCCCACCTCTCCCTGCGCATCTTCCCCAGCGCCGCGCCGTGCCTTGGCGAGCCGGGTCGGGCCGCGGGGCTCGCTGCGGGAGCTGGAGAGACGCGTGGATGGGCAGCTCCGCGCCGGAACCAGCCGCGGCCCCCGCGCCCAGGTATGTATGTCAGTCAGTCAAGCCGGCGGCTTTGCCTTTCCAGCCGGGCCGCCCCTCCCCACTCACACCGCCCGCCCCTTACGGCGGCAAGCCCAGCAGGGAGCCCAAAACTTCCAGCGGCTGCCCCCGACCCTGAACCCCGGCCAGCGCCGTGGAGCAAGAAGTCAACTTCGGTCGTGCCTCTCGGCCACCCCCCTTCCCAGCCCGGCGCTGCTCCTCGCTCCAGTCCCCTGGCGGAGTTGGGGCGCCAAGTTTCCGTGTAGTTTGAGGGGCTGCTTCGGCTGTCGTCTGCTGCTGGGTGCCTGGGGACGATTCGTCCCGGGGAAGGCTCTTCTGCCTTTCGTGTGCAGCGTGTGGGGAGACTGCCTGCCCTGCGTGCGGGGAACACCGCTGGCTCTGCCCTGGGGCCAGCGCTGATCGGTTAATTCGAATCAAGTCCCTTTGGACGCGAGAAAGTCGCTCGTTTATATTTGGGGTCCGTAGCGCCCTGGGCTGGGGCTGAGGACTCGGGGCTCTCTTTGGCCCCTGGAAGAAGAAGCGTCTGCAATTATGGTGATTACTCCCGTCTGATCTTGGACGAGAGGCTGGGGTTTAGCTAGTTAGTTGCGCTGCTGCTGGGAAGGGTCACTTTCGTTCGTAGCTTCTCCAGGGCAGATCAATAGGTGCATAGCTGAGTCCCTTTCGCATTGCGGAGCTCACTCTTTCCTTTCAGAACATAGTGAGACAAAAAGGAAAGTAGCTTTAAAACAGCCTTCAATCCTAACAAGAGACTGGCCAAGAGGATCTGAAACAGCTCCCATGGATGGCAGGCTCAAATCGGACTTGCTAAGCTGGAGGTAGACTCCCTGCTTGTGGATCAAGGTAGGGTTTTTTGTTGTTGTTGTTTTTTTTTAAAGTGCCTCCCTCTTATAATGAAGAATTTTAATCTGTGTTTCAATGAGACAATGAAAATCCTCATGGCTCACTTTCAGAACTCTTTTCCAGGGATCACAGTCTGACACAGCCCCATTCCAACACAGTTTATTCTTACCTAATGCAAAGTACAACTGCTGATTGGTCTTTGTGAGCTATAGTCTTAAACAGAGTACCAGTGATGTATCTAGAGGGAGGGTGTACCTGAAGACTTGAACAGCAGGAGTATATTGATTCCATTACAGAATTTACAGATCTACCAACAAATCCTTTTAGCACAATTTCTTTCCCAGAATTAAAGTTATCTAAGCTTCTATCACTAAAAGAGGTGGAAAGATGGAATGAGTTAGTTAGAGTAACTTCTAAATAAGTAAAAAGAAAAGGAGTGAGGATGAAGTGAGCTGTAGCTCACGAAAGCTTATGCTCAAATAAATTGGTTAGTCTCTAGGGTGCCACAAGTACTCCTTTTCTTTTTGCGAATACAGACTAACACGGCTGTTACTCTGAAACCTGTTCTAAATAAGTGCAATAAAAAGAATGTATCTATAGGTAAGCAACAATTCACTATGTATAGCCATGAGCCAATTCTTTTTTTTTAAAGTGACTAGTGATTCTGGGTGCTTCAGTTTTTGCGTGTCCAACATGAGATGCATTAAAGGAGACTGATTTTTCAGAGGGTGGGCATTCTGGGCAATGGTTTCTTATTTTAGCCATTTTTCTTGATCGTGAGCACAGTATTCTAAGAAAATGTATCATTGTTATAATCAACTGGAATTGAATAATTTGTTTTAGCAATAATTGGCCAGGTTTCCTGAAAGTTTGGCAAGAAACAACTGGCTTTACAACTTTGCTTAGTATGTGAAAGAATCAGTTAGGGGTGTTGCCAGTTTGTCACCAAGCAATTATTTGTGACAAGAGCAGAGAGATCTAGGGAATTGTGTCTGCCAAAGCCCATGCTTGAACTGAATTGTATGTGGGGGAATATTGGCTAATGGTGGAAAATCTGAATTTTGAATATTTTCAAGATTCTGAATTTAAACTACTAGTAAAAACAGGATGTTATGTCCTGATAATACTTCTTTAAAATATGGTGTTAAATTAAATTTTTCATAGCTGAACAAACATAAAGGAGAGCAACACCACTTGACTTAATTGAAAGTGAAGAACAATTTAAGAAAACTTATTTAATTAAGTAAAATCTACTAAGTATATTGGTAATTTAGGATGTAAAGCAACTTTCTAAGAGGAGCCAGTGAGTGCATCCTTCCTCTGTTCTTTCTGCCAGAGAAAGTAAGTGTGCGCGTGCGCGTATGTGTATATAATTCATAGCACTAAGCCAAGAACAAAAATATCAGCAGTCCTTCAACAAGATGTCCTTAAATACAAGCAGAAGAAGGGGAATGAGAAGGGATCAGATTCTGATTTCAGTTACGCTGATGTAAATCCAGAGTCACTCCATTGAAGTCAATATTCTAGATTTGTGAGATCAGAATTTGTCCTAAAATGTCCTTTGCACCAAAAAAAGGTAATAATTTTATTAAGATAATGTTGAAATAAAAAGAAAACGGTACAGAGTTTAGGCATAGAAGTTTCTGGTTATCTGGGAATAAGGTACAGATTATCAAGGGGTGCGAAATTCGATTTAGGAGCTGGTGGAGTAAGGATTACATAATCTGCAGTCTCCCCGATTGGGGGTGAAAGTTTAACGGGTCAAAGTACAGACCTTGAGCTATGGGTAAGTTATCCATATAATGGGTATGTTCAGGTGTGGAGTATAATGAGCGGATACGATGATGGGGATGGATCTACCCTACCAAGAAAAAAGAAAAGGAGTACTTGTAGCACCTTAGAGACTAACCAATTTATTTGAGCATGAGCTTTCGTGAGCTACAGCTCACTTCATCAGATGTATACCTTGGAAACTGCAGCAGACTTTATATACACACAGAGATCATGAAACAATACCTCCTCCCACCCCACTGTCCTGCTGGTAATAGCTTATCTAAAGTGATCATCAGGTGGGCCATTTCCAGCACAAATCCAGGTTTTCTCACCCTCCACCCCCCCACACAAATTCACTCTCCTGCTGGTGCTAGCCCATCCAAAGTGACAACTCTTTACATAATCAAGTCGGGCTATTTCCTGCATAAATCCAGGTTTTCTCACATCCCCCCCACCCCCATACACACACAAACTCACTCTCCTGCTGGTAATAGCTCATCTAAACTGACCACTCTCCAAGTTTAAATCCAAGTTAAACCAGAACATCGGGGGGGGGGTAGGAAAAAACAAGAGGAAACAGGCTACCTTGCATAATGACTTAGCCACTCCCAGTCTCTATTTAAGCCTAAATTAATAGTATCCAATTTGCAAATGAATTCCAATTCAGCAGTTTCTCGCTGGAGTCTGGATTTGAAGTTTTTTTGTTTTAAGATAGCGACCTTCATGTCTGTGATTGCGTGACCAGAGAGATTGAAGTGTTCTCCGACTGGTTTATGAATGTTATAATTCTTGACATCTGATTTGTGTCCATTTATTCTTTTACGTAGAGACTGTCCAGTTTGACCAATGTACATGGCAGAGGGGCATTGCTGGTATACATCTGATGAAGTGAGCTGTAGCTCACGAAAGCTCATGCTCAAATAAATTGGTTAGTCTCTAAGGTGCTACAAGTACTCCTTTTCTTTTTGCGAATACAGACTAACACGGCTGTTACTCTGAAACCTACCAAGAAACATTCCCTCTGTGACCACTCCAGGCACATCAAAATTTCCCAAGGGAAGAATAAAACAATCAAAAGCCAGAGTGAATAATAAATCAGGCAGTCAAGATTACCCTAAGAATTTAATTACAGTTTCCAAAGAATAATAGTAACAATCAAGTCAGCAAGTTAACATCAACACTGGTGGCTTGATTCAGCCCGGACAGAATGAATGTCACAGAGGCCCAAATCCTCAAGGGTATGTAGACTCTTAACTTCCACTGGTTTCCTAAATACATTTGAGGATCTGGGCCATTGTTCCTGGGTGCAAAAAGTCTGCCTGGAGTTGAGATGCAGCTGCACAAGACATCTCAAACTCCTGTTCCACCAGGGAACTTGCAAGTGGTTGGGGAGGTGGCATTGCCAGGCTTACGGATAGACTGATTCAGCATATTCCCTTGATAGCCTCTGCCACTGATGCTCCCTATGTATGGGAATGTTCTGGCAGAGCCCTTGGGTCAAATCAATGTTGGAAACACAACCTGTCCTGTCTCCTGGAATGAGTGTTGCCCCCTAACCTGTAGCTGCCTGCACTCCATTCCGGTTTTATTTATACTCCTCAGTGCCAACAGAAGTGAATCAAGCTCTACATACCCAGCCATTCTAATGTAAATTAAATACCAGTTAGCAAGGAGATAAGAGCATTTGTGTATTTTTGTTTGTTTTTGCCCTTAAGAATCTGGATGCTGTGTTGGGGCTCTGACTGCTCTAGCTTTAGCGGAGGAACAGCCGGTCTCCATCCATCCTGACTATATATAAACAGGCCACTCCTCCTGTTTACCTTCCTCCTTTGAATCCCTCTCAGATTCTTTTCAGTTGTTTTGCAACATCCCCCTCTCTGTCAAGCCTTGCCATTTGAAGAATGCAATTACCTGCCACTGGGGCATTTACATTTCAAAAGACCTACCCAACTGTAATAAGAAAAGGAGTACTAGTGGCACCTTAGAGACTAACCAATTTATTTGAGCATAAGCTTTCGTGAGCTACAGCTCACTTCATCGGATGTAAGGAGAGTGATCACTTAAGATGAGCTATTACCAGCTGGGGTGGGGGGACCTTTTGTAGTGATAATCAAGGTGGGCCATTTCCAACTGTAAAAGTATTAAATGCAAGACTCAAATCCCCAAAGCAACATTATTCCCTTGCTTTCAAACTTCAGAGTTGTGGCACGTCTGCCAGGGGAAATACAATAAAATAAAATGGAGGCTCATGAATAAATAAGTTATTCCACTAGCCTACTGTTCGTGGGTATTTTCTAGCTTATTTTTCTCTTTTTTGCTGCTTTTTCTTTCTCTCCTCCCATCTTCCATTTTCATGAACTTCTAATTCTGCTCAAAAAGAAACGGAGTACTTGTGGCATCTTAGAGACGAACACATTTATTTGAGCATAAGCATGCATCCAGTGGAGTGAGCTGTAGCTCGCTTCAGCTTATGCTCAAATAAATGTTTGTCTCTAAGGTGCCACTAGTACTCCGTTTCTTTTTGCAGATACAGACTAACACGGCTGCTACTCTGAAACCTGTCATTCTGTTCAGTTGCTTCTCCTTTTTTTTTTTTACCCACTTTTTTTTCCTGTTTTCTTCAAAAACAAAACAAAACCATGCTTCTCTCACTTCCTGTTTATAAAATATGTATATCCCCTAGTCTGGTTCTTCTTAAACAACCAAATCCTCAGCTGGTAAAAATGGTCTTAAGGTATATCTACACTACAGCTGCTAGAGCTGTACCGCTGTAGTGTAGACACTTCCTATTTCAACAGAAGGGATTTTCCTGTTTTCTCTGGGAGACTATAGCTATGTTGATGGAATAATTCTTTCGTTGACCTACCTGCACTAAGGGTTAGATTGACCTAATTACATCGTACAGGGTGCAAAACTTTTCACAGCCCTGAGTGATGTAGCTAGACTGATCAAATTTTTAAGTGTAGGCTAGAACCATGGATCTGTTCACTTCAGTGGAGCTTCACCAATTCATGCTAGTTGAGCATCTATTCCCATAGTTTATTTTCCTTTTCTCTCCTCCTGGCTTCTGTGTCCTCTTCCATTATTCTTTGCCATATTCATCATTCTCTCTGCTTTTATCTTTCTGCCCCCTTTGATTTTTTCCTTGTTTCTCCCCCCCGCCTTTAATTTATTCTGTTCTACTTTATTCTATGTAAGTTCTTATACTACCCTAGTCAATGTTATAT